TTCAACTCTATTACTGGTTCCCCACTTATCCTGGTGAACTGTTGAGGTAGGAGGGGAACTGTAGAATGAATGGTTTCTGTTCAGTGTCCTTGCTGCCAACAAAGGAGTGTTTCAGAAGATGGCATGTATAATCTCTCAAGGCCAGATTTAAAATATGAGCTGAAGAAGAAAGGACAGTAAGTACTTTTTACGCCCACCCTTATTGTTCTGTTGCATAAAATAATGTTCAAGAGAGCAGACTATAAAAATTAAACCAGAGATCCTCTTTCTGGCTCAGATGCCTGATTGTGCATCTCCTGTAAAAGAACTGTTGTTCTCTGAACGTTGGCCTGTAAGACAAAGTTAGCCCAGAAAATGCATTAATGCTGGTTTTGAAAGGCAAAGTGGAAAGGTAATACAAATACAACATTGTACTTTCAGCACATGGCAAAGATCAGTTTTAAATATACAGTGGTATATATTTTTTGAGACAGTAGAGCAGTGGTGGTGAACCTATGGCACACCCTCTCTGTGGGCATGTGTGCCATCGTGCCAGCAGGGCCGTAGCTTCCGTGCTGGGGGTGGGGGTGGAGGAGGAAGAGGAGGAAGAGAGGAGGGCTCACGTGGAGGCGGGGATCCCTCAGAAATGGAGTGGAGACTTGCCTCCACTCCTGCTTGCACACAAGTGGGAGCGGGATCCGGCAGCTCAGCTGAGGAGCGACTGGCTGCCTTCTGGTGGTGCAGGGGCTCTCAGATGCAGTTTCTGGGCTGCCTCCACCTTCCCCAACCCAAGCAACTGTTCAGCCTGGCTGCCTTCATGGGGTTGCAGGGGCTCTGATGCAGAGATGGGGGCTCCTTTAAACTTCTCCCTTGAGGGGAGTGCAGCCACGAACCCCTCAATGGAAAGTGCATGGAGCCTGCACCTCCCCAACTGAGCAGCCCCGATCCAGCTCCTGTTCCCGTGCAAGCAGCAATGCTGCCCAGTGAAGCAGCCGGAGCGGGGGGGGGTGTTGGTGGTGGCGACATCCCTTGGCTGCTCGCTTGCTGCCCCAGCCCAGCCTTCCCTCACTCAGCATCAGGGCTGCCAGAGCTGGAGGAGGGGGTGGCTGCTGTTGTGGTGGCAGCGGAGGGACCCAGCACTGGAGGGTGGCAGGTGCCTGCTCACTTGGTGCTCAGCCCACCTTCCCTCACTAGGAAAATCGAAGTGTGGCGCTCAAAACGGAAGTTATACTCAGAACAGAGCACATTCGGCTTCCGAAAAATGTTCCAAAACCCGGAACACTCGTTTCTGGGGTTGAAGTGTTCAGGTTCCAAATAGTTCAAGAACTAAGCTTTTGAAAACTGAGGTACCACTGTATTTATTTTTCCCAATTTGAACTGTATTTATTTCCTTCTCGGGGGTGATTTTCTTGAGTCAAAATGAGAGTACCCCTACATTTTTTTTTAGAAAAAAGCACTGAGTTATACCATAAAATTATATATCAATGGAAAGATAACTTAATGAAGAATGTAATGCAATAACTTTTATGAAGGATTATTTATTACAACAGCAGTCATAAAGAAGAAATGTGAAACACATTTGCGTGGACAGGCGGAGTCCCCAGATCCCGCGCGGTCCCCCGTCATGTGGAATAACAACTCATGACAACGTGCTATGGAATTAAATTGGCCACAACTTTATTAAATTTCAAATGTGGGTAGACCTTGGCTCAGGCATTGGGCGTTCTCCCTCCCCAGTCCCCAGCCGGGGACCTAGGGAGCATCAGGGTTATCCAGTGTGTGTGGGGGGGGATGGGCCGGCTCTGGAGAACATATGTTCAAGCAGAGATAGCCGCCCCAGTTACGCCGCCGCCGCAGGGGAGAGCAATGACGACCTTTCGGCGTACGGTCAAAGGCTCCCTTCAGAAACCCCTTTAACGGGGAACCCTGGTATCGCTGCCGCAAAGAGGAAGATGGACTAAAGGATTCCGCCCAAGGCCTGATACCGCCACAGTTGTGACGTTTTGCTACGGGAAAGGCGAAACCTGCCAATGCAGGGAAATTCCTTTCCGGCCCTTTAACAGCGACCTTAACGTAGCAGCGCCCGCATACCTGCGAAGAAAAGTTAACCTGCAAAACCTGTGAAGAAAAGTTAACCTGCAAATAAGACATTAACTGAGGGTGGGTAGGGTGGGAGAAGCTCTGGAGCCAAGTGAGGATTCCCAGGTAAGATCCTCCCTCTATTGTGTGGGCAGGTAATCCCTCCCCTACCTGGCTTGGTCTCCTTGGCAACGCTTCCCCGAGGTGGGATTGGACAACTGACTGAGGTAGGCGGAGACCTCCAGGTATCCCACCTGAGGGAAGGCAAACCAAGCCTATGCTGTTGGAGCCTCTCCAGATCTAGGGGCTGCACGCGTCCACGCAAAGGGCGTCCCCCGTTTTAAGCGGGGAGCGGTCATTACTTAACCATCCAGGGGTACTTTACCGTTTAGGGGGAATGCCATGAGAGGGGGCAAATCTGCCACAACCCAACTCCCATAGGAAGAAGATTCAAAATAGTTTTATGATGGGCAGAAGTTGGAGGCGGGTCAGGTGGGCCACCAGGCCAATCAGAATGAGGAAGAAGCCAGGCTTTATAAGGAGGTTCCACCCCCAAACACTCCACTCTTCTCTTTGCAGTGCCCTCCCTCTGCAGTATGGGGTTTGCTGGTTGCCGGTTAGGGGGCTGAATAGGATTTTGGTGCAAAACTCCTGATCAACCTTGGTAACTCCTCTTTTTCATCTACTCCAAACTGCTAGGAGTCCTGTTCTTGGACTTGCAATTTTAAAATTAGATTAGTTGGCTTTCAGCCCAGTCAGGAAAGAAAGAGTTAAGATTTGGTGGGGTGATTTAGGGGTATTGTTGGGTCAAGGGAACTCTTTGTCACCCTACATTGCCTTGGTCTTGGGTCCTTCAGGGTGCCCTTCAGACTTCTCAGGTGCACTGGGGTGAACGTTGACTCAGCCAAGCAACAGTGCACTTGACAGGTTCATATACTCAAAGGTTCTCTCTCTTTTCTAAAAAAATAATATTATTATTATTCAGTTTTTCAAAAAATTACAAACATAGAAATTACAAAAAACACAAATAACATACATTTCTAATGCACATATACAGTCGTACCTTGGATCTCGAATGCCTTGGCTCCCGAACAAATCGGCTCCCAAACGATCAAAACCTGAAAGTGAGTGTTCTGGTTTTTTAACGTTCTTTTGAAAGCCGAACGTCTGACGGGGCTTCCATGGCTTCCAAAACCAAATCACAAGTCACACTTTGGTTTCCAAACATTTTGGAAGTCGAACAGACGGAATGGATTCCGTTCAACTTCCAAGGTACGACTGTATTTGACATCCCTCCCCACTTTTGTGGTTCCTTTTTAGTTTAAATTTTCATATGCATTTTCCACATCACTCCATCTTTAACTCATTTCTCTTATTAATATCTTTAACTGCTTGTTTTATGTTAACCCTGCTAATGAGCTTATTTGCATGCATGAATTTTTCAACTATTTCACAAATGTTCACCAATCTTTAATAATAATAATAATAAAATCTTCTTGGTTTTTTTTTTTAATTACACCCATTAACCTTGCCATTTCGGCATAATCCTTTCATTTAATTAGCCACTCTTCCTTGGTTGGTACTGCATCTTCTTTCCATCTCTGGGTAAAAACCATTATATACTGAAACATTCTCCTGGCAAGGAGGAAGAATGCCTTTCAACCCTTTGCTGCAGGACCATAGCTGGTTCCTGTAAACATGCCCAGGAGTGGAAATGGACCCAATCTGTCCCACCTTAGGGAACTTCCTTGTCTGGACTATATTTTTATTCAGCCAGTTTTGTTTGTTTGGGTGTTTGCAGATGCTCTTTGTTCTTATATTTGAATATAACTTTTCCATCACAGTTTCTTGAGTCTTATTCAAGGGTGTTTGGGTGTAATGCTATGTGCATATGAGTGCAGGCTATTCTGTGTCCCTCACCAGCTGCCTGTTGTGAATGCAGGAGTATCAGGAGGGATTTCAAAGACTGATTCACACAATGTAGGTTCCCCAGTACAGAATCCAGCTATATATTCACTGGTGATAGGAGACCTTAATACCTGTTCTCCCATTCTTCTGCAGTTGGCTACTGTTGTGCTGACCAGGATAACAATATGGTATCCTCTGCTGCTGCTGTTTCCCCTTATATGGATAGAAGGAAGGTATGCTAGTCATAACAGGACATTTTGAGCTCTCTGTAAGGTTCTCAATACATTTACATCAGCTTTAGAGGGGGTGCTTGCCTCCTCTGTAATGAGCTTAAGGTATTGGCTAACTGAACACTGTCAGGCCTTGTCCCCAGCAACCATCCTGCCTTACATTTTTTCTTGGTTCTTGGTTTAATGTATTTTTAATCTCTGTATTAAATGTATTTTAATGTATTTTTAATCTCTGTTGGAAGCCGCCCAGAGTGTCTGGGGAAACCCAGCCAGATGGGCGGGGTACAAATAATAAATTATTATTATTATTATTATTATTATTATTATTATTATTATTATTATAGCATGCTTCTTTTTGCCTAGCATTCTGGGCGAAAGTCTCAGCTGTCAAATAACCAGGAATGTCTTGTGTGGTGCTTATGTTTTCTCTGTTACACACTCCTTTCCAGAAGGGATTCAGGAGGGGGAAAAACCTTTATCAGACGAACCAAAGATAAAACCAGCAAATACAATTTCACCTTTTGGAAATGCCAGTCAAACGCTAAGGCCAATCTAATCCCTCTGATTCTTTCCTTTCCAGCTAACGAGAGGGAAAGTTTGAGGCATTCTGACAGCATATCTCTCTCTCTCTCTCTCTCTCTCTCTCTCTCTCTCTCTCTCTCTCTCTCTCCCCTAAGGTGGGCTTAAGAAGAGATTGCTTAATTCTGCAACTGTATTCATTTTGCACTCTGATTCATAGAACTGTAGAGCTGGAAGGGACCACAAGGGTCATCTAGTCCAACCCTTTGCAATGCAGGAATCTTCTGTCCAATGTGGAGCTTGAACCCATGACACTGGGATTAAGAGTCTCACACTCTACTGACTGAGCCACTGACTAGAAGATGCAATAATCATAGACTCATAGATTCTACACCTATGATTTCCAGAGATATCTATTTGATATCTAGGGACTTTATGTGCCCACTTTAGCACAACAGCAACAAAAACAACATGTTACACTCTCCCTCCCTCTCCCTCTCCCTCTCCCTCTCTCTTTCTCTTTCTCTCTCTATGTGGCAGCGGGTCCCCATTAGGATTGGTGGGGCCAGAACAATGGAGTCCAGACAGTAGGCCTTCTTATGCAACCTGCAGGCAATATGCCTCTGCCAAGGTCATTCCTCAGCATCAGGTATTGTGTTATACTACCGTTCACTAGGGATGCGGGTGGTGCTGTGGTCTAAACCTCTTGAGCCTCTTGGGCTTGCTGATCAGAAGGTCAGTGCTTCAAATCCCTACGACGGGGTGAGCTCCCATTGCTTGGTCCCAGCTCCTGCCAACCTAGCAGTTTGAAAGCACGCCAAAAATGCAAGTAGAGAAATAGGTACTGCTCCGGTGGGAAGGTAAACAGCGTTTCCATGCACTGCTCTGGTTTCGGCGTTCCGTTGTGCCAGAATCGGCTTAGTCATGCTTGAAAAACTGACCCAGAAAAACTGTCTGCAGACAAACGCCCACTCCCTTGGCCTGTAAAGCAAGATGAACACCACAACCCCAGAGTCGTTCATGACTGGACTTAACCGGCAGGGGTACCTTACCTTACCTTACCATACCTTAACTTACCTTACCTTACTGTTCACTCACCCCTTGCATCTTAGAAGGATACAGAAGCTGAACAAAGAGACTGCAGTGTTAATGAAGAGAAGGGGCAGCAACTGCTACTCTCAGCTTACTCATGTGGCCTCTCCTTCTGGCTGCTGCTGGTGGTGATGAGGTCCAAGTGAGAGGGTGTTCCATAGGTCCACTGAGGCTATGTTGCTGAGATCACCCACAAAACCCAATGCATTGTGTATAATACTTCCATTCTTTCTGAAGAAGGGTTTCATCATAACATTCCAGCTAAATCATCACTGAAGGCTATGTAGATATTAGAGGAGTTTATCTACCTTGGCTTCTGTAAGGCAGGCAGCCAGCAACGCATCTCACTTGACACCACTGCCGTCTCCCAGCAAACTTTAACATAGGGCTCTGGCATCTGGAACCGAGAGAAAGGGAGAGCCTCCAGCCAAGGCGAGATAAAAATGCATGTATAACAAATGAAGTGTGCTTGCTGGAGTGTGCAGAGAGAACCTGTAGCAATTTGATAACAATGAGGAAGCACCCTTCCCTCTCAGACGCTGGTAGTGAAGCAGCAAATGCGGCCGATAACTGCAATAGAGATGAAGCAGGAGCCAGAAGCTTGCTTACGGTTTATGCACAGATGCTTTGGAAAGGTTGAAGGCTGCTTTAAAATTGAAGCAATTGCCCCAGCTGGGATCTATTGTATCAAATTCAACAGCAGTGACCATTCCTTTTGGCAAGCGTGCTCCAAATCAGGCCCAAATCTGAGACAATGGATCCCTAGCTTGTGCTACAATTGTGCCCTGGGGTGGTTAGATTTACCTAGAGAAGCAATGGTGATGCACCAAGTTTTAGTTGCAAAGCAGTTAGTGTAGTTCCACCAGTGTGGGCAGAAATCCTAGACCCCACTTGTTCCTGAATTTGTTCAGTTAATGTTTTGTCCAGTTAATGTTATATTCTGGCCTATTAATAACTTGCCCCAATCTTTGCAAATCTGGGCAGATAAAAAGACCAGGAAGTCCATCATCAGATGCATTAAGAACATAACACGCTCTTAACATGCATTAAGAACATAACAGCTTGCTGGCTGAGGCAGTTCGGTCACACTGGGTGCAGAGCCTTGGAAGTACTCCAGTGGGTTCTGTAACTATGATGTTGAATTGAAGGCAAGAGGCAGGGTGCCTGGATTTTGGCATTGCACAGGGTGCCACTGAAATTTGAGACTCCTGTTGGAGTGTTGTGGGTATCAAGGAGTTAACATTCTGTGCTAAGTGGAAATGTTGATTCAGCATCATGTGATGAGTCAGCATCATGAGACATGGGGCGTTGCTTAATTGGTCTATAGTATAAAGAGGCATGATTGACTCCTCCACTGTCTTCTCCATTATATGTAATCCCACCTGTGTTTGCTGAATCCCAGATGTAAGAAGACTGCTTTATAATGATGCAAGAATGCAACTGAAATAAAGTCCTAGCTTGACTCCTGAGTGCTTCAGGTGGAGCTTCCAAACATCACAACAACCCCAAGGCCTGCCACTGCTGCTGGGTCAAACCAATGGTCCATTCTCATCCAGCATCCTGTTCTCACAGTAGCCAAACAGATGTCTGTGGGACACCCACAAGCAGGATTCATGCACAAGAGCATTTCACTCCTCCATTGCTGGATGTGTGATTCCTACATCACATGCCCACGTTTACTTTCCTAGGCTGAAAAGCCTGAGAACGGAAGCTAGCCTTATCTCTTCCGCTCTACTGTATTTTTGTACTTTTCACTTTCTGTTCTCTCTCGGAGCTGGAGTGAGAGGACGCCATAATCACTTTCTCTTGTAAATATTGCTGAATAAAAGCTTAGAATGTGTCGCTGGAGCATCCCAGGACTGTTGATTTATGGACGTCCTGGAGCTGTGCAACACCAGGAAGACGCCCAGAGAGGTTTGTCCCGGGGACTGCGCCGACCCCCAGGGGTGTATTCCAACACTTCCCTCCTTTGGTTTTCCAGCAACTGGCATTCAGAAGCATTTCTGCCTCCAGTTTTAGAGGCCAAGCATAGCCATCACAGCCAAGAGCCACTGATAACCCCTTCCTCCATTTACTTCTTTTTTAAAGCCATTTAGGTTGGTGGGCATCACTGCCATCACTTCTGGGAGCCAGTTCCACAGTTTAGCTATGCACTTTTATCAGCCCCGAATCTCCCAGCATTCTTCCAACATTCAGATTCATTAGATGTCAACAAGTTTTAGTGTTATGAGAGATGGAGTGGAAAAAAAAACTTTTCAGGCTTCCGGGGGGCGGCGCGAACGGTAATGGCGGTCTTCTCCCGACGGGAGAAGAAGCTCCGCTGAAATCGGGTCGTCCGCTACGGCGAAGCGGAGACCCAACGAGAAAAACCCCAGGCAGCAAGAGCCTGGGGTCCTGAGGCTCGGCGGGCGCCAAGAGCAGCCCTCCAACTGCAGAAGGAGCCTCGTAAGAGGCTCCGGAGCGTGGAGGGGCTGCGGCGCTGTGAGCCGTTTCACAGTCAGCGGAGTGAAGCCGCGCTGCTGCTGCCGGTGAGCGCTGATCCCTTTTCCTGTTAAAATTCGGACCTGGAAGAAAACAACTTATTCGTGAGTAAAGACTGAATCACTTGGAATTACAAATTTTAAATGAGAAGGTTTAAATTGACTTGAATTTGGCTGAAAGCGGAGAGACGTGGAAACAGGAAGTCCGTCTTCCGCTGCCATTGAACTTGGAAAAAAAAAAGCAACTAAGGTGGAGGAGTGGAGGCTGAAAGAAAGAGATTTTAAACTCTACACAGCCAAGCATCTATGGAACTTACAATTTAAAGTAAAACTAGCAAGTTAAAGATTTGGACCTTTTATTTGCACTTGACTTTCCCCCTTTATTGGATTACAAATTGGAAGGTGAAACCCAGAGTCAGGATTGCTTGAGCACTGTAACAGTGGGCTGTCAGTGTTTGACTTGGATACTGTATATTAGAAGTTGCAACAATCTGAGGGTATTGAGACCTTTTAAATTTGAAACATTCTTTTTGGAGACAAATAAGCACTGTCTGCAACAAAGTGATTACTTTTAAACTCTGCTTAATACTTATATTGGAAGGTTCTGGGACATTAAATCAGACTCTGAAAAGACATTTTAAGCTCCCTCTAGAGGATTGGATTAAAACAGTGACTTTATAAATACATTTACTTTCGATTCCCTTGTTGTCTGCTTGCTCTGGGCCTCTCTATTCCTGTGGGAAAAACTCAGTGTGACCTTGACTGATAGATAACATTGGAATGAGTGGTACAAGAAGAAGAGGAAGAGTTAGACAAACAACTCTAACAAACCTAACCTCAGCCTCGCAGACACGTAGATCATCTGTGCCTACTTTGCCCTCAGAAGTACAACTTGAAGAAGCTGCCTTGCTACAGGCAAAAGAGGGAGAGGGTGAAGTAGAGCAGTTACAATTGGAAGATATGGCCTCAGGAGCATCTGTTTCTGTGCTAGAAAAAATCTTTGAAAAATTGGAAGCTTTGGACAAGAAAGTAGATGCGCAATCAGCAAAGATTGATAAAAATACAGATTGTCTAAACAAATTAACTACACAGGTGGGACAGAATACACAAGCAATTGGACAGTTGACGGAGGCCTCAGTAGAAAACCGAAAATTGGCTGAGGATACCAGACAAAAATTGGAAAATTTAGAGCAAGAGGTAAGACCACTCACTAAACAAGTTGGGGAACATCAGACTTATCTTTCTATGATAGAACTGCGAAATCGTGAGAATAATTTGAGGATTAGATCATTACAAGAGGCAGAAGAAGGAAATCTAACTGAGTTTTTGACCAAAGAACTTTCCAAGTTCTGGAATTTGGAAGAAAAGGACTTTAAAATTGTGTCAGCTTTCAGACTTGGAAGATTTATAAAGAAGGAGAGGCCCAGGGATTGTTTGATTACATTGAGATCGAAGGAGGAAAGGGATAAGATTTTGGGCCTACATTACGAAAAGTCACTGGAAGTTTTGGATAGAAGAATTGAGATATATAAAGATATCCCAAGACAACTGTTGGACCTTAGAGCCGCCTATTCCGAACTTGCTAAACTATTAAGGAGCAACGCAATTCCATTCAGGTGGGATTTTCCCCAAGGATTATCTTTTACCTTTAGAGCGAGAAAGGTTAAAATTAGAACATTGGAAGAGAGAGATAAATTTCTGGCTACACACGGAGAGGACCTACATAAAGGAATTGAACTACCTTCCGGGCCTGAGGCAAAGCCAGCATCAATACCTCCACCTCGGGAACTTGAAGATCAAGAGAAGACACCACCCCAGGAGAAATAACCAGATAGATCCAGGATGTCTCTGCAACTGTTGAGCTGGAATATTAATGGTTGCAATATTCCGGAGAAAAGGAAGAAAATATTTCATATACTATAAAAAGAACAATTGGACATTATTTGCTTACAAGAAACACATGTGACGAGGCTCCACAGAAAAGTGTTAATAAATAAAAGATTGGGCCAGGAATTTATTTCGTCGGATAAAGTGAAGAAGAGAGGAGTGGTGATATATGCAAAAGAGAGCCTGTCACCTAAATTTCTATTTAAAGATGAACATGGAAGGATTTTGGCTATTGAGATACAATATCAAGGAGAGAAACTGCTGATATTAGGAATCTATGCGCCTAATGAAGGGAAATCGGAATTTTACAAGAAGTTGCAGGGGACAATGCTGGATCATCTGGATTACAACAACATCATAATGATGGGAGACATGAACGGGGTCGTGTCAACTAACATGGACAAGTCGCAAAGTCAAAACATCACAAAAGATGGCAGACTACCTAAAACCTTTTTTGAAATGACTGACAATATGGATTTGATCGACATTTGGAGAACAAAGAACCCACTAGGTAGAGAAGGAACATTCTTTTCTGAAGCCCAACTGACCTGGACAAGAATCGACCAAATATGGATCTCTAGAGGCCTGGCACCTAGGGTTAGAAAAGTGGAAATCTGCCCAAAGACCTGTTCTGACCACAACGCAGTAAAGATGGACATGACACTACTACCAACTGGATCCTTTAGATGGAAGATGAATGACAATTTGTTTAGAGATCAGGAAATTACCAAGAAGGCCCAAAAAGTTTTGAAAGATTATTTTGAGATAAATATGAACAATTCGGTGGAAAAAGAATCGTCTGGGACGCAAGCAAAGCTGTCATGAGGGGATTCCTGATACAACAGAATGTAGTAAAGAAAAAAACACAAAATGAGAAAAAAGACAAGATTTTGGATAAAATAAAAGAATTAGAGAAGAAATTAAGAGTGAATCCAAAGTCACAGCCAACTCTGAGAGAAATTAAACTGTATCAAACACAGTATTCTAAATTGATAAATCAGGAAATTGAATGGAAGATCAAATTAATGAAACAAAAAACGTTTGAGTCGGCGAATAAATGTGGAAAACTGCTATCCTGGCAGTTGAAGAGAAGACAAAGATTAAACACGGTTACAAATTTAGAGGTTGATGGAAGAAACATTCAGAATCCAGTGGACATTAGAAAGTGTTTCCAGAGATATTTTAAAAATTATATACCCAAGGGCCGCAAGACGAAGTTGAGATTAAACAATTTTTGGCAAAAATGGATTATCTAAACTGTCACAAGAAAATAGGACAATCCTGAACTCTAAAATAACACGACAGGAGATTGAACAAGCTATTCAGAACATGCAACTTGGCAAATCTCCAGGGCCAGACGGGCTGACCTCCAAGTATTACAAGACACTAAAAGACTATTTGATACAACCCTTGATGGAGGTTAGCAATGAAATTATGGAGGGAAGAGGGCACCGGATTCGTGGAAGGAAGCGTTTATCACATTGATACCAAAGTCAGAAACTGAAAAGACACAACTGAAGAACTACCGTCCCATCTCCCTTTTAAATGTGGATTACAAAATATTTGCAGATATTTTGGCAAGCAGATTTTAAAAAGTTTTAAATGAAGTAATTCATAAGGACCAGGCCGGTTTTCTCCCAGGTAGACATTTGTTTGCTAACACAAGGAACATTATTGATATTTTGGAACTTCTCCAAACTGACATAAATACAAAAGCTGTTTTAATTTTTATAGATGCGGAGAAGGCCTTTGATAACATTTCTTGGAAATTTATGATGGGAAACTTAAAAGAGATGGGAGTGGGACGGGGTTTTGAGAATGGGATTGAGGCGATATATTCAGAACAGAAAGCAAAACTGATAGTTAATAATGTGGTTACAGAAGAGTTCAAAATTGAAAAAGGGACACGACAAGGTTGCCCTATTTCCCCTTTGTTATTTATTTCGGTCCTGGAAGTGCTATTGAACATGATTAGAGGGGACCAGCTGGTGGAAGGAATTCAGGTTGGTCAGAAACAATATAAATTAAAAGCTTTTGCAGATGACCTGGTTTTGACCTTGCAGAAGCCAGAGCCTAGTACGAAAAGAGTATTACAATTGATTAATGATTTTGGTCGGGTGGCGGGATTTAAATTAAACAAACAGAAAACTAAGGTTTTGGGGAAAAATCTGACTGAGACAGAGTCAGAACGGTTTCAGAATGAGACGGAACTTAATGTGGTTAAAAAGTAAAATACCTAGGGGTAAACATAACAGCAAAAAATCTAAGTCTATTTAAGGATAATTATGAAAAATGTTGGACAGAAATTAAGAGAGACTTAGACAGTTGGTCAAAATTGAAACTTTCTTTGTTAGGCCGAATTGCTGCGATTAAGATGAATGTATTGCCAAGAATGTTGTTTTTATTTCAAACACTGCAGGTATTGGACAAAATGGAGTGCTTTCAGAAGTGGCAGAGAGACATTTCGAAGTTTGTCTGGCAGGGCAAAAGCCCAGAATTAAGTTTAAGATACTAACCGATGCAAAACAAAGAGGGGCTTTGCCCTGCCGGACTTAAAGTTGTACTATGAAGCCGCAGCGTTCTGCTGGCTAAAAGACTGGCTACTTCTTGAAGACACTGATGTGTTAGATTTGGAGGGTTTAACAATGTTTTTGGATGGCATGCATATTTATGGTATGACAAAGTTAAAGCAAATAAGGCCTTTAAGAACCATATTGTTAGAAAATCACTGTTTAATGTCTGGACAAAATATAAAGACTTGCTGGAAAATAAAACACCAAGGTGGCTTTCACCTTTGGAAGCTAAGGCCCGAAAAAGACCCAATATGGAGGCCAAATGGCCAAAATATTGGGAAATACTAGAAAAGATGGAGACAATTGGAAATTGCAGAGCTTGGAGAAAATGAAAGACAAAGTGCGAGATTGGTTACACTATGCTCAGATTAAAGAAGTTTTTAAAAGTGATAAGAAACTAGGGTTCCAGGTGGAGAAATCGAAATTAGAAACAGAATTGTTAGAACCAAAGACTAAGATACTTTCAAGGATGTATAACTTGCTGTTGGAATGGAATACACAAGATGAAATGGTTAAATCGGCTATGATAAGGTGGGCACAGGATATTGGGTATAATATTATGTTTGAGGACTGGGAAAGGCTGTGGAGTAATGGATTGAAATTTACTGCATGTAATGCTTTGAAAGAAAATGTAATGAAAATGATTTATAGATGGTATATGACCCCAGTCAAACTCGCAAAAATTTACCACCTGTCTGATAACAAGTGCTGGAAATGCAAAGAGTGTGAAGGAACGTTCTTTCACCTCTGGTGGACATGCCCTAAAGTGAAGGCGTTCTGGGAAATGATTTATAATGAATTGAAAAAGGTATTTAAATATACTTTCACTAAGAAACCAGAGGCCTTCCTTTTGGGTATTGTCAGCCAAGGGGTGGCAAAGAAGGACCAGACATTTTTATGTATGCAACAACAGCAGCAAGGATACTACTCGCAAAACATTGGAAAACCCAAGATCTACCCACACTGGAAGAATGGCAGATGCAACTGATAGACTATATGCAACTGGCTGAAATGACTGGCAGAATCCGTGACCTGGGAGAAGAGAGAATCGAGGAGGATTGGAAGAAATTTAAGAACTACCTACAAAAACATTGTGATTTGATTGAATGCTGAATAAGATGCTGGACTAAATAACTGAGCACCACTTAACTTAGAAATTTTTAAGGAAACAAGAAAAATTGTGAAAGTTTAACTCTTTATGAGAACTTTAAGATTATGAAATATCGAAGAGATATAAGAATTTAAATAAGATGATAAATTGCTGACAAAATGTTATAATGATGAAGGTGGGAGCGGGAGATGTGAGGAAGTCCAAAGAAAATGTGAAATTATGTTAAGACAAATGCTATATTGTTTATTACATTTATTCCTATTGTAAAACCCAATAAATTGCTTTAAAAAAAAAAAAAAA